TCGATGATTGAAAAAGTTGACAACTTTTTCAATCGATTATGTCGATTAGTTGTTGCAGCCCTACACTTCAAAGAGAGCCACAGCGTCCCCAGGAGGATCTATGTATAACCCAGGATATGTACCAAGGAGGGATAATAATTGCAACGTTGAATCATGCGATAAAAGTTTGCATACAATGCAAATCTCATTCGGACTTATTGTTTAATATGCATTAGAGGAAGAAGCGAGTCATTGAACAAATATACTTATCTTGCGACACGAGGAAAAAAAGCTATGGCTTTACATGCATTAGCTCCGTCCTTCTCGGCTTTGCCAGGAGCTAACGTAGTGACGCATGCCATACCATTCATAGGCATAAAAATATAAATGGAATGAGGCGTTACTATGCTGGTCCCTGACGAAGGCCAACAGGGCGAAGCATGTAGGGCGGCCTGCATGGGATGTCATTACGTCTCGTAGGATGAGTGTAGTTGTGGGTTTTGCACAGTTCGTCCTGGAAACGCTGAGGATCTCTTCACATCAGTGACTTGCATCTGTAAATGCACATTGAACTAAACTGGCGAGTGTGAATCTGTTCGAGGTGAAGAACGCGGCTTCTCTTCTGCATGCGGATGGGATAAGTGTCGCAAAATGAATCAATTCAACTCGCAATAGTTTGCCAGGTTCACACCTGCGTGATCCATGACCGCGCGGCAATCGTGCAAGATACCACACGGATTGCCGTGCGGTCACGTAATTGCCCACCACTGACGATCGAGCTGGTGGTGCCATTATTTTCTAATGGTACCCCAGTTCACGTCGTGCAGATCGCGCGGGTTCCCACCCGGACAATCAAAATGATCGCAGCTTAAACAGCCGCACGTCACGTGTCGCAAAAAAAAGGTATTCCCTGCGATTGCCGCGCGGATGTAACCCTCATTGAAATCAATGGGGCCGCGTGGCAATCGCTGTGTGCAATTGTGCACGATCGCGTGGTCCCAGGACGCAAATAGCCCAGGTCTGCAGCGGCCCTCAGAGTTTTGTGTTTTAAGGCTTATCTGCTTTACTTGACCTCAGTCTGGTACGGGGGCAGGCGGGACATCGGTCTGGAACGGGGGCAGGCGGCGCGGGACCTCAGTCTGGTACGGGGGCAGGCGGGACATCGGTCTGGAACGGGGGCAGGCGGCGCGGGATCTCAGTCTGGTACTGAATTTTAGATAGCGTGAAAAAAGTTTGAAAAATAGTAATAATGATAAATACATCCTGAAAGGTTCTATTAATGTATTAGTGTATAATCTTATATAAAATAATACATCAGTACGCACTGAGGACCGAGCCGGCCAGGCAACTAGCACATTCTTACGGGAGCTTTCAGCAAAGCCGCCCTCTTGGAATGGAAATGTTCATGACGTTCACACATTTTGATCTCTGGTCGTGTGTTGGGTGAAGGAAGTTGTAAACAAGGTAGAGATCAATCCTTGACTTGGTAATATGGTAAAACATTAGACAGAGGTCAGTAACTGGCACATCATTGGAGGCTCTTTGCAGCAGATGTACATATGTCGCTATAGGTGACATGTCATAACACTCCAACCTACATATTTCTTTTCCTTCCTCATTACTGTAGCAAATCATTTGTTCGGTGCGGCACTAAATCAGATTTAGAGCGATGTTAAAGTTTAAGCTATTCCATCTGCTGATTTAATCACTTACAATGGATGCTTACAGAGTCCCCTGAACACTGGCCCCGATATCCTGTTTTAGGGTGGCTCCTTTACCATGCAGGGTCCTTTTTGGAGCCACCCTTGTGTGTGCTAGTAAGCGGTGTGTGTCTCCACAAACACACAGACACAGCAAGTCAAACCACGCTCCTTTGCTTCCTTCCTCCTCCCTTAAAAGTGATTCATCAGCATTTCAAATTGCTTAAAAACCTTTTTGTCTTTAAGGGCAGAGATAAGGAGCAATGCCGTCACTGAATTCTACTGGTGTACGGCCAGCTCTGTCTGATACCCAACAACTGGGGGAGATTTCTCCTCACTTCCTGTTCTGTCTGTACCCTATCATAAAGGCAGCTATCAAACTTACGGAGCGAGGAAAAGAGCCGAAATCAGACGTTGTCCTTGAGTCAGACGGCTCGTTCTGCAATGATACGTGGAAGGGATTTCTGGGTCACGAGGAGGTTTTGTAAATGGGCCAAAATCTGATGTAGCGGACTGGAATTTCCTGTAAAGAGAGCTAAAGGGAATGATCCGGTCATGTGACTTCATCTTGTCCACATTGCTCAACCGCTGACCTTTTCTTGAAGAGATTTGCGAAATAGTTGGAGTCGAGTCATCTTGTCATAACAGGAATTTCAGGTACTGCAGGGCACAGGAGCGGCGCGGGGGCACAACAGACACAACACAAAAATGTCCTCAGAGTCCCTTGAATGGACTTTCGTGCTCCGGATCAGCAACATGTCATACAGTGGTACCTCGGTTCACGAACGCTTCTGTTCACAAACCATTCGGTTCGCGAACAGGAAGTTCAGCAAAATTTGCTTCCGTTCGCCAACTCCGCATCGGGTGACGAACGCGACCGCGGCCATCTTCCCTGCTCTGACACGTGGTCGTGGCTTCCTCTTGTCGAGATCGCGGTTTGATTCGCGAACAGAATAGTGGAGCGGCGTCTTCCTAAAGCGATACATTTGACATTCATTCACCAAACATTTACTGAAGGTGAATCTTCCCTAAAGATTCTTTGACACGTTTTAGGAATGTTGTTTTGTTGTTTTTTAGCTTAAAATGGTCTTACAGGTGCGTTCCAGTGCGTTTGTATGCATTTTGATGCTTTCTATGCGTTCCAGTGCATTTCCAGACCAGGCAAAGAAGACGAGCAGTATTTTTCTGCTCTGGTCTGGAACGGACTGCGCTGGTGTGAACAGAGGCCAGAAATAGCATAGGGATACATTAGGATGCATTTTGGGTCCGGAAACAATCTGGTCTGGAGATGATTTGGATGTGGTGTGAATGGGCCCTCAAAGGTGTAGTTGGGCTGATGACGGGGCGTTCTAGCCTTCCCTCATCTAGAGAGGAAGAAAAAGTGGCTTTGCTGCCTATGTCTGTGTTGGAGGTTTTTGGCCCACTTCCTGTCCCTGTGACAAAAATCTAGATGCCTAGACAGGAAGGAAGAGGAACTCTAACAGAGCCCTGGATGCTAGTAAAAACCTGACTGGGGCTCTAAAACTTCCCCAGTCTATCCGAAATGTAGACGTATACACAACCACTATGCGGAAGTGTTAGTGAGGCCTTGTTCACACCAAATGCAGAGCAGATCCGGTCAGGTTTCTGCACACGCAGTGCAGTGGGTTGTGCCACGTTTTGGACGCGTTTTTGATGCGTTCCGGGCCGTTTTTTTAAGTTTAACATGGGCTTTCAGGCACTTGCATGCGTTTTTGATGCGTTCCAGAGCAGATCCAGAGCAGGTAAAATAGGGCTTGCCGCAGTTTTTTCACCTGCTCTGGATCTGCACGCTGCGATGTGAACTGGAGGTCAAAATACCATAGGAATACATTGGACGCAGTTTTGATCCGGTCTGCACCTGCTCTGCTCTGGATCTGCTCCGCGCTTGGTGTGAACAAGGCCTTAGACATGTGCATGCAACCTAGCTTTATCCCCCACATAATGGTAATGATCCGAAGCACCCCCTCCATACAACCCATATTACCCCCACATAGTGGTAATGATCTGTGATCTGAAGGAACCCCCCCATACAATATATATATATATACGAACTCGCTTTGATCTCGGTAGCAGCATTTGCCCTGTGATGTCACAGGAAACATGTGACCAGGAAATAGTGGGCGGCAAACTCTGAAGAATTTAGAGCTGCTATACAGTGAGAAGGAGGCTGCAAGCAGATCTCACGTTTTTCCACAGTAGGTCTCCCTCTTCATAGTGGTAATGATCTGAAGTTCTATCCCCCCCCTCCATACAACCCATATATATACCCCCACATAGTGGTAATGATCTGAAGCACTAATTCCCCCACCCTTCCTCTATGCGGCATAACCTAGAGGGGTGGGGTTCTGTAGTCCTCAGCACAGGCCCACAGGTAGTTATGAGCGCACAAGATTTCTGTCAGGATCAACTGATCATTTTTTTTATTTTTTGTACCAAAACTCTTCTTGGAATGGTGTATAAGAACAATTCATTGTGGGGGTTACATACACTTTTATGCCCCCTTTTAAAAATCTAAACTGAAACGTTTTATTCCTTATCGGGTGTCACTAGCTTTTCTTGCCGCCAGAGGCTTTGAGGGGAAGGGGGTGCGGCTTCCCGCCCAGCTCCTGGCAACCGGTGACATCACTGGAGCCAGGCAGGATGCCGACAAGAGCGTCCCAGGTTGCTAAGAGGTGGGAGGGGAGATGTGTATGACTCTTAGCAACCTGGGACACTCTGGCCGGAAAGAACCCCCCCTCACAAGATGCCGTCTGAGGCAACAGCCCCAAGCTTCCTCTTTATAGCCCCAAGCGTCCTCTTTATAGCCCCAAGCGTCCTCTTTATAGCCCCAAGCGTCCTCTTTATAGCCCCAGGCGTCCTCTTTATAGCCCCAGGCGTCCTCTTTATAGCCCCAGGCGTCCTCTCTTTAGCCCCAGGCTGCCTGTTTATAGCCCCAGGCTGCCTGTTTATAGCCCCAGGCGTCCTCTTTATAGCCCCAGGCGTCCTCTTTATAGCCCCAGGCGTCCTCTTTATAGCCCCAGGCTGCCTCTTTATAGCCCCATGCGTCTTCTTTATAGCCCCATGCGTCTTCTTTATAGCCCCAGGCGTCCTCTTTATAGCCCCAGGCGTCCTCTTTATAGCCCCAGGCATCCTCTTTATAGCCCCAGTCGTCCTCTTTATAGCCCCAGGTTGCCTCTTTATAGCCCCAGGTTGCCTGCGAGGTTTGATAATTGCCGATACTTGCTTTTTATTAGCCAAGCTAGGAAAACCTCCTTTTTGCCCCCATCTCACCTCCTGCTTCTTTTTTCCTTCTTTCAGGTTGAATTGTCAGTGTGTCCGTCATGAGCGGTGAGACCTGCCCTACGGATGGACTGCTTGGTGGCAGACCCTCGAAGATGAGATCACCTGACGTAGGACGGCACTGCAATCTGTGATTGGTATCGGTGGTGCGGCGATTCTAGGACCGCCATGGGACTGGGCAGCACCATCGGCAGCGTCTTCTGCCGGATTAGACTGTTGCTGTTCATCGCTGTGTGTGTGATGATAGTTGGCTGGGCCAGCTTGTACTTGCGGGACAGCGAGCGTTACGGCCTCAAATACAGGCAGGCCGGCAATTTTTGGAAGTGTGCGCCACCTGACAGGAAGGCGGAATTCGAAACCCTTCCGTCCGCCGTGGAGCAGACCACCAATGAAGATCCGGAGGTGAAAGTCTGCCCTGTTCTGTCTCCATTACTGAGTGAGTACACTGCGGTGTTCTGCGTGCCGCCACGGGACCGCCACCATGGCACAGGGCCGTACGGAACTGTTTTAGGCTCATATAGCTGTTTGTTGTGAATGGGGAACGTGTAATAAAAAAGTAGGTGTTTTCCAGATTCGCCTGCAAAAGTGGAAATGCACTTTAACATTAACCAGCTGAAACTCCTCCCTTATCAGCGTTATCTCTCGCACACCAGCAATGAATCGTAAAGCTTGGTTAGTGAGTATTGTAGCTTTACAATTGCCCATTGGATGGACTGCAGGCTGTCAAGAGTAATATGAATCGGGTGGGCAACTCCGCCCCTCCAGCTGTTGTAGAACTACATGTCCCATGAGGCATTGCAAGACCGACAGCTACAGGCATGTCTCTCAGATTCAGATGAGTGTTGGGATTTGTAGGTAAAGCACAGCTGGAGGGCCGGAGCTGCCCAACCCTGATTATAAATAACGCAGTGCTTTTTTACTTACAGTATATCTCTGTACAGCTTCGGATTGCAGAATTCCAAAAATATCAGAAGAGTGATTGGTAGGGATGCACAGATGCCGATACTATTATGCCGATACCGAGTATTTGGGTATGCGTACTCGCCCAAATACTCCCGATACCGGAACTTCCGGTATCAGGAATCCAGGTGGCAAGTCATTACACGCCACCCGGCTTCCTTAATGGGACTTCCGGTATCGGTATTTGGTATCAGTGAGTTCCGAAACATATCGGTACTAGATACCGGAAAACTGGTTTTGGTGAATCCTTAGGCTGGGTTCACACCTAGGCGTATCGAATATGCGCGTTTGTCCCGCGTTTCTACCGCGATACGCGGTAAAAACGCGACAAATGCGCGTTTCCGAGGGCTACTTGGCTGTATCCCTATGGAAACGCGCGACAAAAACGCCCCAAAGAAGCTCCTGTACTTCTTTGGGCGTAGGACGTTTTGTAGCGCGTTCATACGGCCTGTAATACGCCCAGGTGTGAACCATGCCCATAGGAAATAATGGGATTTCGGTGTTTGAGCGTTTTGCAGAGCGTAGGAACGCGCTACAAAACGCCCAGGTGTGAACCGGGCCTTAGTGATTGGGTCAGACGCAGATCCTGTACTATGCTCTTGTGGTCTCCAGTATCCTTTTACATAGCGCCAGTGCGCCAACATGCTTGCACTCCGGTGCTACATAACTGTGGCTTGCAGCAGCCTGGTGGTACCATGAAGTCACGATGACCGCTCTTCATCGTGAAGTGCCATTGGCTGTCATTGTCTGAACTAAGGGTGGGTAACTCTGGCCCCCCAGCTGTTGTGGAACTACTAGTCCCATGAGGCATTGCAAGACTGACATCCACAGGCATGATTATTGCCAGAGGCATTTTGGGATTTGTGGTTAATGCATGGCCGGAGTTGCCCACCCCTGGTCTAAACCCAAAAACAAACATGTAGTACGGTACAGCTTACCAGTCCTCCGATGTGCCGGCTGCATTCGTTTTTCTTTAATGGGCAGAGGGAAGGCAACGCTCACTACATAAAAGGGATTTAACTTGTGTTTAGTTATTCTTTAATGGGCGTTAGATGGACGGTAAAGTTCCCCAATGTTCTTCCAGCCAATAGGACGCTAGGAATCTAGACCCAGGCTGGCCATCACTGCTCCCTGGTCATCTCTCCTCTGTTCTGACAATTTTCAGATCCCCCCCCTTAGCTGTGGCTGTGAATTAACCATATTGTAGATCTTTTATACTGTTCCAGTGGAACGCAGATGCTGAGGGTGCCCATAGACATGTGTGTGTCGGCCTCTCTCGGTGTGGAAAGGACCAATGATCGTCGATTTTAATCGACTAAATCGATTAACTGTTGCAGCTCTAGATCGGGCACAGTGCTGATGTTCTCCTGCCGATAAGCCGGCTCCTGTCTGCTCCTCGGTCTGCTCCTTCCCTTGGCTGAGCCAAGCTTACACGGTGATAGAAGGCCATGCCGTCCTGGAGACCGTTTGCTCACGATTGAGCGTAGAACTCCAGACCGATCTAAGGGGTACAAATGAATACAGCTCTGTATTCCCGAACACTTTAAATGCATTTTTTACATGCAAGCAGTACCTGAATGTGACCCGCTATCGGCTTCTGTACAGCAGGGCTGGGGTGTGAGAAGAAGCAGTACAAAGAACCAAGCGGCTAATAGGAGGAGAGAGCAGAGTGACAGATTGGACAGTGAAAGGAGAAGCAGCACAGAACCAATCGCAGGCTGGGGGGCGGATCCAGGATGGTCTGGGCTCAGAGGAGGTGGCATTGAATGATGTTGCCTATCGGACTGATAATCCCATGAGGCATTTCAAGGTTCTCACAGCCACAGGCATGACTCCCAGAGACAGATGCATGGTGGAATTTGTAGTTTCAGCACAGCTGGAGGGCCGGAGTTTGCCCACCCCTGGTAGAGCATGCCCCTTCCATTTAATGTCCAGAAGCAAATGGCAAACGAGGAGCTGGACTGGTATCTATCTTTATCACAAAAGGGAGGGCTGGCAGCGCTGCTTGAGCCCAATGGCTTAGGTTAGGTAGCCCTTCTGCAGGAATCAGGAGACCTCCCTAGGGGAGGGGCTAGGACCCGAATCGAGAAATCCAAACATAACGGTTAGAATGAGAGTGCCAGACGAAGAGAAGTTTAGAATCCAAAATCTTTTAATCACTCAACTGATGATAATAAAAACACTAGATAGCCAATGCGTTTTGGGGGCTACAATTCCTCCCTTCATCAGGGCTGAATGGTGGTAATAAAGTTTTGGATGGACCCAAATGATTGTTTCTGAGCTGACTGCATTCAGAGGTGAAAAGACCAATTGGTACAATAGTGATGCCAGCAAGGACAGCCAAAATGCAAAGGACCGCCCTGGTTCTTGGTGATTGGCTGCTCAGGAACCCAAATGCGTGTGGTCGGGGTGATCCCTCAGCCCCGTGTAAGCTCGATCTCCCATATTTAAATGGGGCTTCCGCACTTCAATCCCAATCGCTGTGATGTCACCACGCTTGTAGTCCATTGATGTCGTCCTCCGGCTCCATAACCGAAGATCCGTACCTCCGTACAGACCTGGGGCTGGAGGAATAGTCTGCGGGAGCCTGAGCATTGCACCCGGGATCCACTGATCACGGTTGCAATGCTCTGCAGGATCAAATACAAATGAATGAATCGGTGCACTTCTTTGTTTTCTTCTTTTACATAAATGTGCATTTAGTTATTTTTTGGGAAAGCCGGACTGTTCCTTTTTAATTTAGGACAAAAACCATAGGCTCTTCTGTGCCTTTTCATTTCACTACGCCGGAGGGTCACATCTGTAATGGGATTACTTTTCCTGTCAGTTCCTTCAGCTTCTGTCACTGATATTCATTATTTCTGCACTGTCTTAAGTGGCAGAGTAAACATACAGCAGGAAGAAAGGGTACGGGTTCCATAGTCCAATGTTTATCTGTAAGCGAGACTTTAAATGAGGCCGTAATCTGAATAAACAGTGCAGGTGAGATGGCAGGCTGGTGACCCGCTACTAATTAATTCATCATCTGCCGCCAGCACAAGGTCTGAGCCGCCCCCTTTCGCTGCGTTGGGGCTCGTTTGTGCTGACTTGCTGCAGCTTCTGATGCACATTGTGAGGAGCTCGCAGTGTGCAGTGACATCAGAGGAAGCCATTTCAGTCCAGGAGAGGAGCCGCTACAACTGTGCAGACTGAAGGGAAGGACGAGGTCAGACGGAAGACGGTAGGGAAGGACGGAGGTCAGACGGAAGACGGTAGGGAAGGACGGAGGGAAGACGGTAGGGAAGGACGGAGGTCAGACGGAAGACGGTAGGGAAGGACGGAGGGAAGACGGTCGTCCTTCCCTTCAGTCTGCACAGTTGTAGCGGCTCCTCTCCTGGACTGAAATGGCTTCCTCTGATGTCACTGCACACTGCGAGCTCCTCACAATGTGCATCAGAAGCTGCAGCAAGTCAGCACAAACGAGCCCCAACGCAGCGAAAGGGGGCGGCTCAGACCTTGTGCTGGCGGCAGATGATGAATGTGCGTTTGCCGCCCTCACATCTCCCCCTCCTGAGACCCTCTGCACGAGACATCAGGCCGGCATTCCAGAGTATGTACCAAATTCATATACTATTATTCTGCATTGCTTTATAATGTATTGCTGGGATTTGTAGTCCTCTACAGATGATGGCGTTCTGCATTAGAGTGTAAGCTTCTCTGTACAGAGACTGCTGTGACTGGTTCAGTGTCCTCTGTACAGTACTACGGTATATGTCAGAGCTATATGAATGTAAAATAATAGTGTGCGACTATGGGTGGACATTGGAGTGTAAGCTCCTTTTAGTGCAGAGAGAGCTGGGAGAGTTTAGGGTGCCAGTGAGATCCAGTTCCGGCACCCCCCCTTTGGGAACAGGAAGGGGGGGCCCCGAGAAAAAATCTTGCACCAGGGCCCTTTGTTCCTTAGGTCCGCCACTGGCCTAAGCCGATACCAGAGTTATGCCTTAAAGTGATATTACAGTCAAAATGTTTATTTGGAATGCTGATTAAATCACTTACAATGGATGCCGCTCCTTGGTGTTTAAAGAACTCTGGGTATACATTTTCGTAACAAGGGATCCACTTTTTTGGTATCGAGTACGAGTGCCTATACTTTGCTTTCGGTACTTGCTGATGCCGAATACTGATACAGCTGCTTCCGCTGGCATGGAGCCGGCTTCCCGGGCAATCAGGAAGCCCAGTGGTGGGTAATGACATGCCGCCCGGATTCCTGATTGCCTGGGAAGCCGAATCCATGTTGTTTGGCCGGCTCGATTGTGATTGACCGGAAAACCGGCTTCTCAGCCAATCCGGAAGCTAGCCGGCGAGTGATCACCCGCCTCCAGGCTTCCTGATTGGCCAGGAAGTTGGCTCAATGCTGATTTTGGCTGACTCGATGCTGATTGGCTGGGAAGACTATCAGGAATCTGGCTCCATGTTCCCCGACAGTACTGCCGGTCAGAGGAAAATGTTCCCCTGACCGGAAATTCCGGCATCAGGGAAGGTATAGGAGCATTTGGGTGAGTACGAGTACTCTACTCATCATTTTCCTTTGTTCCCGAATGGTATCGGACAAAATGTGAACGTAAAGGGGTGAGATGGGGAATAATATCAATTGGCTCACTGGGCTGCCGTTACAGTACCGGCTTCTTCTTTTGCAGAGGGGACCATACCACTCTCCTTTGATCCTTCCTTGGATTTAGAAAAAGTGAAGAAGAAGTACCCCCAAGTGGACAATGGGCGCTCCCACCCAGAGGGCTGCAGAGCCCAGCAACGCGTTGCCATTCTCATCCCACATCGGAACCGGGAGAAACATCTCCTCTACCTGCTGGACAACCTCCATCCCTTCCTCCAGCGGCAGCAGCTGGACTACGCCATCTACGTCATTCATCAGGTGAGACCACAACAACTTGTATGAAAAGATGAATTTTAATCTTCCTGTAATTTTAGCTTCTCTGGTTCCTCCTTTTCCTTTTCTATATTAACGGCCACGCCTTCTCTGGTTCCTCCTTTTCCTTTTCTACATTTGCATGAGGGCCGCCCTAGTTAACGGCCACGCCTTCTCTGGTTCCTCCTTTTCCTTTTCTACATTTGCATGAGGGCTGCCCTAGTTAACGGCCACGCCTTCTCTGGTTCCTCCTTTTCTGCATTTGCATGAGGGCCGCCCTAGTTAACGGCCACGCCTTCTCTGGTTCCTCCTTTTCTGCATTTGCATGAGGGCCGCCCTAGTTAACGCATTTGATATTGCGCCTCCATGAATGAAAGAACAAAAATTTAATGAATCAAAAGTACCCTCCATCCTGTTTGGCCCCTGTAACCTGGGAAAATACCCAGGTTTGGAGGTATATGGGACGACTCCTCTCTTCCCAAAGTGCCAGAATGACCAGTTTCCAGACCAAAACACTGTTACATGGGGGCAGGGTAAGTTCTGGTGGAATTTTGAGTCCGCAAAAAATGTGTCCAGTGTATGGGTCCCCATTCACTAGAGGCAAATTATGTCCCTGGTGCTGTATAT